GCATCGGGAACAGAGACTTGGCAGGGGGCTGGGAGCCACCCTGAGTAAGGTGCAAAACACTGGCCAGGAAGGCGGCAAAGGGCGTCCTGGTCTTCAATACGCGGAATGCAAAAGACAAAGAACCTACAAAAGGTTAGCCGAGGCGGGCGCTGAGCTTGCAAAGGCGGCTGCTGTGCTGAGGCTGCCTGGGGCGGGCAAGGCGTCGCCTGAGGGGCGGCCCCCAAGAGGGTCAAACCCGGGCTTAAAGGTGAATTAGAGCTGCGAGTGGCATTGGCTTCATGCGGCGAAGGAGAAGACTGATGATGCAAAGGCACGGGCGCTGGACCTACTTGTCCGCTTTTGGGGCCTTTGGAAACCTGGGTCGGCGAGGCTTTTTGGGCGGCTCGCCTCCGTCGTCGGTTGCCTTTGGAGGAGGAGCGTTTGCAGTCGCCTCGGAGCGGCGGGCAAGTATTGAGTCCGCTTCCTTGAGGTAGGCAAGCGCAACAGTGGCCCAGGAGGCCGGACATAACGGGGCCCAAGCGCGCACACGAGGGTTGTAAGGCGTAGACCTTCCTTGAAAGATCGTGTGAGGCGGGTCGGGGAAGAGGGAAAGCGTATAGGCGACCTCCCACTTTCCCGAATCTTGCGCCGCCTGTTCGATAGCCACAATCATAAGGGAAAGCCGGTCCATGGCCCCGAGGTAGTTGCCGGCTAACATCTGATCGGCGATCTGACTGAGCATGAACATCATCACGCCTAAGTCCCTCTGCTGCTGATACCCTCCGTAGCGCTCCAATTACTGGCTGAAGAGGCAGGCACGGGGCTCTTGCATCATCTCCTCTAAAACCATTCTGGGCCACCGCAAGCATGAAGGCCCCCGTGCTTGCAGCCAGCTCCTCCTGGAGTTTCTCCCTCTTGGCGGAACCCTTTGAGGACAAACCTGTGGACCCGCCAAAACCAACGCTGAAGTCGCCTGAAGCCTCGGAGGCCTGGGAGATGAGGTGGTTGACCAACATTGTCAGAGCCTCTCCCTAAGAATGCAACGCACGGGTTAAGCCCTGGGGGGCATGGAAGGGGAGGCCAAGATAGAAGCTGGGGCATCCTGCGGACCCACGGGATTGGTCTCGGCAGGCGCTGCAAGCCTTGGCGGCTGTCTGATCTTTGGCGGGGGGTCCAAGGACGCTCCAAACAAAGATAGGCCAGGCACAGGTGGGCCCTTTGCAACTGGAAGCTGGAAAGGCTGGCGGTGAAGAGGGAGAGGAGGGGCCGATTGCGTCTCCGTGACACGGGCTTCGAGCTCCTGCTGCTGGGCCAGGCTTTGCATTTGATCGGACATTGCAGGCATCATGTGGAGAAGCGACTGCAGCTGCTCGGCAAGGTGAGCCGTTGTGACCCTCTTGGCCTTTGCTTTCGGAGGGTTTGCGGCAGGCAGCCCCCCCCCAACCTTTGCACCTGGGCCTGGCTCCTCGGGCTCGATGGCCGAGTAGAATCCCATCAGCTCCTCCGCAGCGGTCCGCAGCCAAGCACGGCACAAAGCAACGAGCTGGGCTGCCTCTGGGAAAACCTGCGGCCGACGCACATCGAAATGAAGGATATGGCTTGCGATCACCGGATCGTAAGGCGAGAGGTCGGGAGCAGCAATGTCCATGAGATCCACCACCACCAGCTCGAGGGGCTCGTCCACGGCCACCTCGGACACACACTGCATGCAAAGGAGACTCCAGGCCGTCGGCAAGGGCTTGTGCAGAGAGGCAGCCTGAAGGAAGTGCAAGCAGAAAGCCGCCCTGTCGCCTCATGACAGGTATGCACAATGCTCGGGCCTCCGAGCCATCTTGCAAAGTGACACTAAGGGAGCGAGGCCACATACGGCGCGCAGAAGCTGTCCGTGGCTACAAGGAGGCCGGCTGCCTCCATTATTGGTCGGCCGTGCACGGCTGCCCGGCTGCTTTGCAGAAGGCGCGTGCTTCCCCCTCCGTGGGGAAGCTGTGGCAGACAGAGTCCTGGGGAGAAGGCCCCACAGCGTGCCTGAATGCAGAGAAATTTCGATACACAGCAGGCTCTTGGCCCCGGGCGTTGCGAAGTTCAACAAAGAACCTGGACCAAACGCCAATCTCAGGAGAGGGAGGCACAGCGCTGGCCTCGCCAGCTAGGACACGAGCCGCCGCCAGGCCGGCGTTCCAGGCACGTTGAGCCCTCCACCCTCACGGCGGAGGCCAGAGATGAGCAGAGGCGCAGGCACTCAGATGACACAGTGCTGGCACAGGTGCAGGAGTTGAGGGCCTAAACCTTAAGGTCCTAGAACCACTAGAGGTAGGGAGGGAACCACTGGGAAGAGGGCCCGGCAGAGGACGAGG